CTCTTATCTTCGACGTCAACGTCCTACCAAAGCTGGGCAGCCAGCCAATGACAAGGCCTTGGGTACACTCATGGGATTCTATGAAAAGGATGCAGTGCAGGTACGCTTTTACCCTGGTTAGAAACTTGCATGTAGCGAATAATATTTTTTTAGGTCACTAACTGCTTTGCTATTCCATTCAGTGAGTTGAGGGACGATCTTGAACTAGATGATTCATTCAATCAGCAAATGATTCAAATGCTGAAGAGAGCCGCACCTACTGAACAACCTGTGGGATGGTGAGGAAGGGTTTTGGGTGGTTCTGGAGACAGCTTTTAATTGTTATTTATTATCCTTTTGTAAAATGTTGCAGGTTTTACACCTCTTCTGATCTTTCCTCCAATTGCCTCATCTATCATGATTACTACAACAGAGTCATAAATGAGGTATGATGCTAAATTAGACCGCTTTTATATTTTAGAGTCTTGAGAATGCGGAGAATAGGTGACAGTGAAGTTGGCATATCGATCGGACGACCGAACAATTTTGTAGAAAGTGCGGCAGGGACTGGATTGGAAACATGCTCTTAATCCACTTGCAAATCGCGAATTCCCATTCAAGCATTCTCCTTAATAACTGTACATTTCGTAGCGCGCCCACCCTATGATTGGTGCACGGTGCATGTCGTAGGTTGAAAAATTCCAACGAGGAGTATCGCACGTGGTAAGGGGGGAGAGTCATATTTGCCTTTATAAATAACATTTGGGTAACTTTTCTCAGTTTTCCGTTTCATGTGCGCTATATACACAACCTACCTTTCACGCTCGACTATTTTTTCGAGATAAATTTGAGTATTTTCAATGAAAAAATTCAGAAAAGTAGTGGGAAGTGTGGAGAACTCAGGGAACGGTGGGCAGAATTTGGAAGGCAAGAGGGGGTCGTATAGACGATGAAATTCAGAGGAGGGAGGTCATATCCAGCGATGTTTTTTTCCATAGGGTTGAGCGTGCACTGGTAGCGCGTCCCCCAGTCGACTGTTATGATTGTAAATTCTTCCGATTTGTGGATTCCCCATTTCCCTGTTTTGTAATAACATGGCCCTACTATGCAACTTTGCTTTGGAGCAAATATTTCATCGTCTCGTATGCATTAATAGCTGTATAATTATACTTTCATCAAAATGATCATTCTTATCAGGTATCTCGGAAGGAGTCTCCGCCTCTCATTTTGTTAACCCTTGATACAACCTTCACTAGTGCAGACGACAAATATCGTGTGCCTATGAGGGCCTACCTAAGGTTGGTTGAGTTTTGTTTCAGCAGTGGAGTCTTTAAAATTGAGCGCCTAATTTGTAGAACCTTGGCTGGAATCCCTCGTGCACGTGATCCTCACTGCGCAATATTCAATCCTCTTCGCGTAGAACTCGATGCTTTTCCAGGAGAATGTGTAGCAATGCAAGTTAATCGAGGTGAGTTCCAGAATTGCTGGCTCACTCAACTCTAAGGTTAATTAGACAGTGGAATACATGGGTTTCATTCAGAATGCCTTGGATTCGAGACGACGTGAGGTGACAATGGAAAGTGGACTTGAACAACTCGAAAGAAGTATAGCGCAGATAATCGAATGGCTCGAACGCTTGCTAGAGTTGGTTTAACATTTAAGGGATTTGGTTTCAATATTATTTAGCTATTTGGCTTGGTGGGGTTTACATTGGTTCCCATCACGCTGCCGATGCCTCCTTGTCAGACCTGTGAATATCTGTGAAGTTGCGCTGTAACTGGAGCTTCGTTCACACTTGACAGGGTCTACAGGACTTCTTCTTCTTATTATTATTCTTCAGCGTTTGCCCCGCTCTGTGGCGGAGTGCGCTCTTCAGAACTTACCAAGATGAAAGGTCTACAGGACTTGCCAAGATGAAACGTGTATTTCAACAACTTCATCAAAAACTAGCAAAAGGAGCCAACAAAAGTTTAAATGCCCCCCTCCCCCACACCACCTTCCCGAGCTGACCAGCGCATGGTTTTGACACATTTTCTTTTTTTCAGTATATAAAAAACACATTTATAAACATATTTTGGAGGTATGTCAACGAGGTTACTTCTCGCGATGAACTTCCTACTGATGCAACAATGGGACGTCGATTAATGGATATTGTTAACACGGCTGCCACGCATATGCAGACTGAAAAACTGGACAGTCTTGTCAAGAACAGCCTGAGGGTAAGTGAAATCAGATATTTCGCGTTTATTTAGTTCATCCATTGACTTTTCCTGTTTTCAGGATTATATGATGATTTCTTACTTGGCGAACCTTACGACAACTCAGCTCCAAGTGCACGAGAGAATGACGAACATCTAATCAAGGCGCCTGCCGAGTGTTATATTTTCTCCCTTTAATATCTTGTTTTCGATCAGTCGGATCAGGTTCGGGCGCGCTATTAGGTGGGGTTACTAAACACTATATCCCAGAGATGTAATGGGCGTGGTTGCGTTCTCTAGATGAACCTGAGGGCGGCAGCGCTTCTGTTATATTGCCTTTTGGTACAACTTAAGTCATGTCTTTGTCTAGCACAAAACAAACTGACAGTTGTTTCCAAGGGACTGCCCCACGCCCTTCCCATCTCCGGGATGTGATCGTACTCGGAACACCCCTACCCCTTGGGATCGACAAAAAGCTCGTTCTAGGCAAACACGTACTATTACTGAACTCGAGTGGCGTCTAACTACGGGGGTACTCGAAAAATTCCTTTGATATTTTTCGCGGAGATTGAATATTAGCGAATTACGCGTACCCTAATTTCGCGGTTCGATGCATTATCGTGTGTTTTTGTTTTCGGTTCTCACCTATGACAGATCAAAACTTCTAGACGCTGTTGCTGTTGTTACTTTTCTCCACCCACTTTCTATTTGTTGTTGAATTTCTATTGAAAAGTGAATAAATGTTTTTGGGTTGTTATACCCTGTATGCGTGAATTGTTGTATGCATGCAAAGTATTTGTGATGTGTCCTACAGATGTCTGTTTTTCCTTGAAACTAGTTAACAGCTCAAATAAACATGATCATGAGGGTTACTCACGGGTTCTAGCACTTACGGATTAGAAGCTGTGTGAGTAAAAACATGGATATAGGACGGGTATGTATCAGTTCGCCATTTAAAATTGTTCACAAGCGCCTCAGGATATCTGCAGCTACAAGCCTTTGCTCCTCTATCTTTTTTCTTCCTCCTTTCTTTTCCTTACTTCCTGCTCTCTTTCCCATCCCTTGTTTTCTACCATTCAGATGCTTGGCCAGAAGCTGTGAGGATGAAATAACTTTGGAAGTGTGCGAGGAAACTTCCGATTGAAAGAATCCCCTATAACCGAACCTTTAAAGGAATGAAACGAAAGAAGACAAAGAGTGAAAGAAAGGAAGAAGTTGTAGAAGGACGCTGGTAAAAGACAGTCTTCGAGTGACAGTTGACAGAAGTCCTGGCACACTCTCAAGGGCGTGCTAAAGACTCCATTGCTTTTGAAGGGAATCTCATGACTTCCAGTTCCCTTCTGCCCACAGGCCCAGACCAAGCAAGCCAGCCCATAGTCCCAGAGAAAGCAGGCTCCATAACTACGGAACCGTTGGTTTGACGCCAGACCCTTCAGATAGAGTGAAAACAGTGAGCTCTGCATCAGTAGGCCCGCGGAAGTCATTGTATAAAAAATCTTATACCAAAGCCGCTACAGTTCTTAATGGAAGTAGGATATGTGGCACATCCGAGAAGGAGAATGCTTGAGGTCAAATCTATTCTTTTACCTACCTTCTTAATTGTGCGACCGTATGGCCTGTCACCCGCGGTTTTCTGCTCTTTCGCTCGCACAGTTACCTTAGTGCCTGTGCATCTCCATTCGTCCAATGCTGAAAATAATCGGGCTTCGTTTGAGGCACATTTGACGGGTTCCTCTGCCTTCTTCTTAACTGCTGAGTTACTCAGCACCTAAACTCGTATTTCAACCCCACTGTTCACGATTCGCAGTCGGGGAATGTGCCATTAGGCTGGTCTTTGTTTTGTGAGTTATCATGCCATGGCAGATTGGGCGATTTACGGATTCCGCAGCTCAGTGGTCCTTCAAAAACAAATATAACAGTAGTCAATAGATAACAGAAATGGGAAGGGATTGCATATCATCAGTGGAGCTTTCATATTTTCTTTTACCGGTTTTTTTTCTCGGTTTCGTTGACTAAATGGTTGCGGCGATTCCATCAGTTTAGCAACAGCGCACGTGGGCTTACAGGGTTGCAGCATAAGATTTTTCGATGTTATCGCGCACGTTTGATGTGTTCGCAGTTGTAATTCAAAACCTTTCCTGGTTTACGTAATTTGTTGTAGGCAAAAGTACTGAGCAAACCAAAGAGGTCTTCGTCCTACAGATTATGAATACGTGCGTCTTCATGGGCTTCCTTTTAGAGTCCCACAATTGGCGCATATGGATATCATTCGCAGAAAGTCGATGTAAGGAGAGTATTTCGACACGGTACGGAAAGAGTCTGAAATGCAGCGTCCTAGAAATCGCCCAGGATCATTGCGTGAGCGCGTAGCTCAAGCTTATCATGATTATGGAAGGTTAGTTGTTTATCTAACCGTAAAAGTGCGTTCACACTTTGCAGCAGTGTCTTGAGCGTTTTGAGCGTGCGCCAGCGTTTCCAGCGATAATCGATGCCTATACTTTCCAAGTCGCTCGAAACGCTTACAGACGCTCAGGCGCTGACGCAAAGTATGAACTCATTCTAAGGGTTCCAAAGTGTTCACTCTGTTTTTCTTCTCCCAGTCATTTACATAGAGGTAGCTCAGGCTGTGTTCGGCACATCCTGCGGCATGTTTGTCGATGTCACTTATTTCTATGCTAGTACTGTCCTATCCAACTTTTACAAGATTTCGCCTGATCGTGAGCAGTCCCATAAACGTCCACTGGGATGACAAGGTGTATACCAGCTCAGGTAAGTTCTTACTGTTGGGATTCTTGCATTTCAAACTATCATTGGTGTAGGAGAACGGTCTCCTGAATGGTTGCGTGGTTCACCCTCAGCATTCTTGCAGCAGATTATTGTTCGAGGAACTGTGGAACCTTGGGTCTCTCTCAACATGACTCCTGAACAGGTTAGTTGAATTTTATTTTTTACATCTCTCATCTAGTGTCTCTTATTCTTTCTTTTTCTTTCGTTTTTTTTCTACTTCCGCTTTTTCGCCGTTATCCTATCCTTTAGCGTTGTGCATTGTTTTATAGAGGGATTTGGACGAATACTTTACTTTTTCAACAATTTCTTATTAAAGGCTGTTCGAGGACCATTATCGCGAGCTTTTCTTGCTAGAAATATCATCCTAAACCAAGAAGTTGTTGATGCTATGTGCCTTCAAGTTAATCGTGATGATGTCCGTTCGGGTTCCCCGTTTCCTCGCGGCTGCCTCCTACTTGATCCGACAGCATTCTGGCAGAACTCTCGGGATAAGTTTAGGGAGGTACGTTTTAGGCATTTACTCATCACCTTTTCAATACAGCTAACAACTGCCGTTTGAGCGGTTCGTAGTCCATTTTATGGGTATTATCGAGCCTGAACCCTTGAACATTGTGACGTTTGCAGGCTCAGTCGCCTGTTAGGCAGCATTCAGATTTCGCGATGATGCGCGTCCACGCGCAGTAATGTGCGGCGGCGCCCCACAATTTGCAACAACCCTCCGATCCTTTGGACGCGAACGACAGCGCGACACAGAGGTTCAGTCAGCGCCGCGTCGCTTGTGTTGTCGAGAAAGTTTAGGATGAAAGAAGTGCGGGGGCTGCCATCACACAATCTGGTACTCTCCCCTCTTCCTAAGCCTTAGCGGCCAGTGCCGATCGATACCAGACTGCGCAATGAGGCAAGAAGTAGCCTCCTTCCCCCCCCCTCTCTCAATACAGAGGCGGGCAGAGCGATTTCAATTTTCGTGTTGCGGCTGCGTTCGCGTTTATGGCCTTGCAATGTAGCGCGTTCCAGTCGTGAAGTTCGGCTGTGTCGAGCGAGTCGTTGCGTCGCCCGTAAGTTCATGAACGCTTGCATAATCATTCTAGTACCTCAGCTTCTTTCGAGTATTGGTGATACGAAACTCGAAAAATTTATAACATCCGTGCTTCAAATTAGCTGAACTGAGGGTTCATTTACTCTTCTTCTAAGCTTTGTTGCGGGTTAACCATGAGATGAATTGTGGAAGCTCTTGCATTTGTTTTATAGGACCCGGATGTTTTGACGACGATTTTCTTGCGAGAATGCTCACCTGTTATGTGTCTACGAGATTGCTTTTCTATGGGATCCGACTGGATTCACAGGAGATAAAGCACATACATGTAAGCAATATCAAAGCTGCAGTTTAGTGTTTTCTTTTTTTGCAAATTAGATAATTCAGTCACAGTTTGGGCACAGCACACGGTGGTGGAAATTTGCCGCTTCATTCTTAGAGACACAGGGTGTGGGTACCTGTGAGGAGAATCCTTTCCAAATGGACATGTGGTGGCAGAAAAGTATTTAAAAAATGTAAATAAAAGTACGCGGCAGTGAAGCTAGAGGCTCTGAGGAGGCATGATACTTTTATATATTCCCTATTTATTCGCTCGCTATTCGAAGGGCAAAAGAAGGAGAGAAGATTGAAGAGATTCAGTTGCCAGGAAGCCGTCCGGTGTGTCCTCAGTCGTCAGAGGAGGTAAAGTTCTCCTTCTGTGGATTTCACGATCATATGCCTTCAACCAAAATAATGATCGCTGCGCACGCTATGGGTACCCGGATAGATCGCATGGCACTAAAACAGTTTTTCCCTGTGATAGTTCGCTTGGTGACTTCAATAGGAAATATTATTCAAGAAGAAGTAAGAGATGTCGCAATGGAAATTTATTATTTCAAAATGGCTCTGCGTAAGATGTCTGGAGTAACTTCGGCTTCGAGACGAACTATACACTCACATTTGCGGATCCTATTCCTTGCCGTGTGTGGGGAGAATGTGTCCGCAGCTGCAGCAGCTTGCCCCTTTTTCTTCGGTCAGCAGTTCACGGAAACAGGGCTGGAGGGTAGTGAAGCTTGGGCGCAGTCTCCATACTCTGTCTGCGCCGCCGCATGGCTAGCTACATGCCTAACCATGGTCAAACGCGCTACCTGCCTGCGCCCTCTCTTTTTTGGTTGTTCTCTAGCGCTTAGTGCGTGTTTCACTGCGGAGCCGTGGTGACGACGCAAACGCTGCACCTTGAGACTAACGCGGGCGGAGCATGAACATGGCACTTGGGAACACTATCCAACGGGCTCGTTCCCATGCTTTTTGACCGAAGAAAACGGCACGCTTCTGCCGCTGCGGGTCCGTTCGCCTGACACTTGGCAAGGACCATCTCGGGATATGAGGGTACAGTTTGTCTTGTGACAGGTTAACAGTGAACAGGGTAACAGAAGGGTTACTGAAGGTTCAACTTTCTTACCGCTGCGCTGTGCTTCATTTCTGATCATCCTTTTGAGCAAAATTTAGGTATCGACTTTTCACTCACATTGTTTCTTGCTCAGTACGATCCTGGAATGAGAAGTTCACTGCTAAGTAGTTTATCTTCTCGAGAAGAATTCGAGTCTTCGCCATTGTCTCTGGAAGAGGAGAGTCAATTCGTTCACGTATTCTATCGGAATCAGAAAGCTTTCACTGACTACCTCCCTCTACTTTCCTCCTATGCAGTTTTCACGGTAGTGTCAGTTCTTAATCAAAGGTCTTTAGCCTAAGATTTCTTGCTCGGATCATTAGCAACTCGAGAAATTTCAGTTTTATTTGTACTATTCTGCTAGAAAATTCGAAATGGTCGCGTCACGTTGGAGTCTAGCGTTTGCTGCTGCTTTCGCTGTCGGCGCCACTCTTCTTATGACCACCGGTTCGTTAAAATTTGCCTTTCTTGGCTTAGTGGAAATTTGTGTGCGTCAATCATTAGAAGCCTATATTACAAAAATTGACGCTACTTGTGAGCTTCAGAATTTCCATGAAACGTAAACAAAAGAGCGGGTTGTGAGTTTTTCTCACATGGATCCCACACTTGCCCCCCCCCCCCACACCGACCCTTCCCCCTTCTCAGGACGACTATGGCATAGTACCTCGCTAAAGAGCAA